AAGACAAGGTGAAATATATATATATATATATGAAGAATTCATGGATTGATAAGTCATGAAAGGATTCTTTGAAGGTGAATGTGCTAGGAAGACGACTAAGATTGAGATAGTTAAAAGTCAAACTTATTTGCTCTTGGACTCACAAAGGAGTTATAAAAATTATTGATGTGTCACGAAACTATATTAAGTTTTGTTTACAACAAATGATGATTATGATGGTCATTAATATAGTAGATCATTATATTTTGATTAAAAGTGATTTTTTCTTCTTGATATACCGTTAGTCTTCCTTTGTCTTTATATTTCACAAATTTTTTTTAGTTACTTTAAAATAAAATATCCAAAATTATAGACAATTCTACTATAATTAGAGAAAAGAGGAGGTTAATGACCACGAGTTCAACAAAAACTAGATCTCATAATCAATAATTAATAAGTAAATCCTTATAAAGTAAACACCTAAATTCTTAATAGGTAAATCCTTATAAAATAATTAGATTTGTTCTTTCATCTAAGTTACTTGTTGTTACTTGGACTAAAACTTTCAAACTATCATGGTATTGTTTAAAATGAAAGAGGTTGCTGAAACCTATTTGGATAACATGATGAAATACGTAATTATCACTATCCCTATTTACTTCAGCAATACATAAACACAAGTTATGTAGAATATAAGCAAAATTGTAGGTTTGAGCGTGCCAAAGATCATCAATGAGCCAATACATTTGCTATTGCTTATAAGGGTGGACAGAAGCTGAACAAAGACATATTCATGTTTGACCTTCTTTAATAAAGAAAATGTTAATAAAGTGTTAATAAGCACTAAAGGAAGAATAATTATCTCTTTAAGTTACTTATATGACTTGGAAAAAATATTCAATTAACATCTTATAATAGGATAACAATAAAAATCCTAAACAATAAAAACAGTACTTATGACATTGTTTGTAAGTTTTGTCTTTATCTAAATTTTAATTTTTTATTTTTTATTAAAAATATTTTTTGGGAAACTTTATCTTTTTTCACTTCCTATAAAATCTAAGACTTATGTACAGGGAAAAATGTAAATTAAGCGAAGATAAATAATTTCAATGATCAAATAGTTTCATAATTTTTTAATGTCACTTGAAATCTAATGTGCATAAGACACGAAACTTCAACTTACTCCCTCAAGCAGTCAACGCTTATTCATATACTCAATTTCATGTGCAAGTAATGTAAACGAGTGGAATGCAGTATCCATTGCACTACTTAATATGAATATGTGATTGAGTTAAAATCTATAATTTAAAATAGAAAATTTAATTTATTTTTTAAAAATATTTTTTAATTCTTATAATTTAAAATAGACTTTTTAATTTCTATACTTATAATATTTTAATTAATTCTTTTAATTTTTAGCATTAATTTTTTTAATATTATCTATTTTTCAATATTTTAATTTTTTTTAGTTCATATTGTTATTTTTTTATAATATCTGTTCTGTTTTAATGCTATAAAAATATTCAATTTTTGTGAGATTAAAAAAATATTTTAACAATGAAAGAAACATATTAAGAAATCTAATTTATAATAAATTTAACAAAATAAAATTGATATTAAATACATAAAATCAAATTAATATATTTGTCAAGTAAAAAAAAAAGACGTTATAAAATAAAATTAACAATAAAAATTTAAAAAATATATAAATATAAAGATTAAAAATATCTATATAAATTATAGAAACTAAAAAAGTTGTACATAAAAATTTAAAAAACTATTTCAAACTATAAAATTAAAAGATATAGTATAGAAACTAAAATAATATATTTTAAACTATAATAGTATTTGAAACTATGTAATTGTTATAACAAATTTCACGCAAAAGTAATGAAACAACTGTACCCATTTACTTTGCTTAGCATGTAATACTCAAGAGTTCTGCTGATGCAAGAACAGAACATAATGAAAGTGCTAAATTTCATCGAACATGATAGCAAATTGTCCATATTCATGAACAGAACTATAACTGAATTATAAAATAGATCACGGTCAACGATAGTTTTTCAAGGGCCACAACGGACCCGACACCCACACATTTACGAAAGTTCAGAAACATGAAGGCCCAAAGCGATGCTGGACATACACATACTAGACACAAGAAGAGACCTACAAAACATTATTAAACTTAAAATCCACCACGAAGACGCAAGACAAGGTGAAGAGTAGACTCTTTCTGAATGTTGTAATCAGCAAGAGTCCTTCCATCCTCCAATTGCTTCCCAGCAAAGATCAACCTTTGTTGGTCTGGTGGAATTCCCTCCTTGTCTTGGATTTTTGCTTTGACATTGTCAATAGTGTCTGAACTTTCAACCTCCAAGGTAATAGTCTTTCCAGTCAAAGTCTTGACAAAGATCTGCATGCCACCCCTCAAACGAAGGACAAGGTGAAGGGTGGACTCCTTCTGAATGTTGTAGTCTGCAAGTGTGCGTCCATCCTCAAGCTGTTTCCCAGCAAAAATGAGCCTCTGTTGGTCTGGTGGGATACCCTCTTTGTCTTGAATCTTAGCCTTGACATTATCTATGGTGTCTGAGCTCTCAACTTCAAGGGTGATGGTCTTTCCAGTGAGAGTCTTAACAAATATTTGCATTCCACCACGAAGACGGAGAACCAAGTGAAGGGTGGACTCCTTTTGGATGTTGTAATCAGCTAGGGTTCTGCCATCCTCGAGCTGTTTCCCAGCAAAAATAAGCCTTTGCTGGTCTGGTGGGATGCCTTCTTTGTCTTGAATCTTAGCCTTAACATTGTCAATGGTGTCAGAGCTCTCCACCTCAAGGGTGATGGTCTTACCGGTGAGAGTCTTAACGAAGATTTGCATCTACATTATACAACACAGAAAACAAAATAAATGAATCAATCTCCAATTCTTCATAACTATTATGATGAGTAAAAACAGAGAATAGAAAGACAACACAAGACTTAGACAAGGGACTGAGCAAGATTCTCCAACATCATCAATTCTATTTACGGCCTAAAAAATTGAAAAAACACATTCATCAAACCCTCCCAAACAATCAATATAACGAGGAAATTATCCTAGTTAAAAAAAGTTACATGTTTATTGTATGAAACACAGACAAATATAAAATTAACAGACCTTGACATAAGGATTCTATTCAGTAAATGGACAAAAAAATCCACAATAGACTAGAAAATATCAATTATTCATACCCCCAGATGTGACAAATTAAGCATATACCTTTATAACAGTTTTCAAAATTGCTTTCGATAAACAAATTATATTAAAGAAAGTAGCCAATTAATCAGGAAATGTTTCAAAAAAATCTCAGCTTGCGAGGGTAAAATCAATGAACCATGTTATATTCAAAAGAAATTCTGGAACGCTAAAAAAGGCAAGTCAAAATTAAAAGGGGTTGACGAATCCGATGATCGGCTAAGGAATAATACAGAACCCTAATAATGGTAATCTTAATCGAAAGGAAAAGAGGGGGCAGAAGGTACCTTGTAAAGGTGCAGTAAGCGTTTGTTTCTAACGTTGGTTGGGGGAAGATGGTGGTGAGGGGCTTCGTTTATATAGCAAAACGATGCGTTGCTTGGTGACGGCAACGGTATAGGTCCTCAAATAAGATTGTGACACGTGGGAAGTGGTGAAGCTGTTGACACGCCAACGTTTGGTATATGAGTCATTTTCGGCAACTAATGAAAATGTTTTGATGACAAAACCTTCAAACAACTTCTCGAATCTGTTGCCCGTTACGTCACCCCTTCCATATTTTATTTTATTGACTAGTTATTATTTTTTAATTTTTTTTAATATTCTTTCTGTTTTATCCTTAAATATATATTAGTGAAAAAAGTAAGATATAAAACAAGAATATATCCCTTCAAATAAAAAAACAAGAATATAATTATTTTTAAAAAAGCGAATACACAATATCTTCTTTATATATTATTATAGTTACAATTTTAGTTAATATTGTTTATTAAACACATGATTTTTTTGCTTATATGTTTTTAGAAATTTGAAGCATTATTTTTATGAGAACAATATTTAAATTTCATTTTGTTATGATTTCATGTACATAATTTTTGAATTTTGTTGTACACAATTTTTTAGAACACAAATTCTTAGTAATATTTAAATTCAGGTAAAAATTTAATTATTTCATTCTTTAAATTTTTTTAAGAATTTAAATCATTATACTTTTTATGAAATTAATACCCAAATTTCATTTTATTATCATGACAAGTATATAATTGCTAAAATTCACATCAAATACAACTTTTTTTATAACATAATTTCAATTAATATTATTCATATGTAATTAATTATGCAATTATTTTATTTTCATTTTAAAAATTATGTTATCTCAAATGATTTTCACACTATACTGTCCTGTGTATCGCATGCCACTCCTGTTTTTAAAAATAATAATGTATATTGAATACAACATATGTAGTAAATAATAATAATAATAAAGTTGGATACCCATAAATGAAAAAGAATACCGTAAAATTTTTTTTTTTTAGAGACAGGCCCAACTCAAATTACTTGGGCTTCAAAACTAAGGCCCACTCGTAGCTTTAGGCAGAGCTTACTAGTATTTCCAGAAAAAATAAATAGTAAAATTAATTTTCTATCTTTCATTTTCGTCAATATTAAAATAATATTTTGCGAATATAAGTTAGTCTGAACTTTAGAACATGTATAGATCATATTATATATAT